CAGTGAACTCCAACTAGCTTGGATCAGCTGTCTCTTTGGGTTTCCCCATCATGACCTTGACTCCTTTGCTTCTATAATCCTTTCTCCCTTTATTCGACTGAACTACAGGAGTTCTACCCAGTGCTTAGCTGTGGATCTCTACATCTGCTTCCATCAGTTACTGGATAAATGTTCTGTGATGACAATTGGGTAGTCATTGATCTGATTACAAGGGAAAGCCAGTTCAGGGACCCTCACCACTATTGCTTGGAGTCCTAGCTGGTATCATTCTTGTGGGTTCCTGGGAATTTCCCTAGCACCAGGTTTCTCACTAACCATATAACGGCTAACTCTATCAAGGTATCTCCTTTATTCTCCTTCTGCCCCTCCCTCAACTCAATCTCTTTCCTTATGTTCCTTTGCTACTTCCCCTTACCTCCTCATCCCCACACACCCTCCCAATTTATTCAGGAGATTTCCATGTGTGTACAGCATAAAACAATGTTGCACAGGAAGCCAGGCATCTCATAAGGAACTAACAGGCAGAAGTGAGAAAGCACTGAAACTAGCATAGGGATTGTATTTTTGGAGGTTAATTACATCTTTTTCCAAATTTGTCTGATGAGATATTTATTAATGATCTGTGCTATAAGAAGCTTTTGTGACAGTACTCAGAACTGCTGGAGAAAACACTGATGCCCAGTAAAAGATAATGAATAAATCCTATCACCACCAACAAAGATGGCATAGCTATAGATTCAGCCCTAGTTTGCTTCAGTTATCACTATATATAATATAGTTTTATGCTATGTCTATGTATGGTAACCTGTTTTGGACTAATTATGTCCCCTACAAAAATCTCTATGTTGATACTTTCTCACTAATGCCTAAGAATGTGATTGTATTTAGGAACAAAGTTTCTTTAGGGATTATTAAGTTAAATTGAATCTTTGATAGGAAATTTAGTCATAGGGAGACATGGAGTGCATGCACACAGTAGAAAAACATTGTGAAAAACACAAGAAGATGATAATAATCTTCAATGAAAGTGGTCTTCAGAGAAAATAAAACTGGTAATTTGTTGACCTTGAGTTTATAGTCAGTACAATTATTTAAAACAAATTTTATTTAATTAAGGAGGATGCAAATATCTCCTAGTTTGGACAGGAACTGAATCCTCAGTGTCTTTATTTTTTATGTCAGTGTATGACAGATAATCATAAAAATCCTAGAAATGTATAGAAATGAGAATTTTTTTTTGCTTGCCAGAATACTGCCTAGGGTTTAGTTAATATTGTCTGAAGTCCAGTTGACTTAACTTCAGCATATAATTTAAGTTTAAGTGTTGTATCCTGCCGATATTGGCATGCAGTTTGGACATGTTCTTCTCATAAGATGAGAAGAAAGTAATATCAGCCAATACTACCACAATGTCATATTTAATTTTCATCATGGAAGTGACTAGATTTAGAATTACCATGGAAACCTACTCCTATGTGCTCATGAGAGTATTTTCAGAGAGACCTAAGTGAGGAGATAACAGAAACCATTAATGTGAGCATCATAATCCCATTTGTTGGCTTGGGTCTTAGAGTGAACAAAAAAGAGAATGCTAATTGAACAGTAATATTCATCACTCTTTGTTTCCTGACTGAAGATGCAAGATGAACCAGTACTTCCTACTCATGATGTGAGAGCTAGAGCTCTCCTCACAGTCAGACCTTCCCTGCTTAAATAAACTATACTCTTAAAATCTGAGCCAAAACAAACAATTACTTTCTAAAATAGAATATTTGCATTTTTCAGATAATTTTCATCTCAATGAGAATGATACAAAACCAGAAAATAGTAGAGAAAAGTGGTGTCATTATTGTCATAAAGTTGTCCATGTGGTCCTTAGGCTATGGGAATTAAATCATAGGAGGAATGTGGAATAATTTGGAGGTGTGGGTTGCACCTTAGAGCTCTGTAAATAGAGTTTAACATGACCCTTTTTATGAGTTTAGGATAGCAGAATGGTTTATATAAATGCTGAAACAAAAGACTGCAGTCATGATAATTCAGACAAGACACTATTGGGAACTTAGATAAAAGCAATTTTGGTACATACACATCAAGAATTGATGTGCATTCTGGTGGTGTCCTGAGATCTTGGGTGAGATTAACTTCAACAGTCTTAGATTTAGTTATTTGGTGAAACAAATTGCAAAAAAATGAGCATAAATTCAATCATGGCTAATGCTCATTGACCTTAATCATATCTTCAAAAAAGGGGAAAAACAAAAAAAAAAGAAGCTTGACAAAGAGAAAAGAATGATAAAATTTAAAGATGGAGTTTGGCAACAAGGCTCCTGTAATCCCTAATAAGATTACCACCATTAAAGATTAAACTTAATTTTTCTTTGCAACAATAAGAGTCTCTGAAGATATGACTCTTGCCTACCTAAAGTTCCAACTTTCATACATAAAAATTAACTTTGAAGGGAACAAACTTAACTGAGAAGTCCACTAAGGAATTATGAAGACACAAGAAAACCTGATACTGTAATTAGGGAGAATAGACATATAGAGAAAATTGGTGGCACATAGGAAGAGAGAAGTTCCTCATTCTGAGACTCAATTCAAACTTCTAAACAACAGAAAAATAAGAATTCCAGCACAGTTACCAGCTGCTTAAGGCCACTCTATCTTTCCAGCTATAAGCCTGTAATTTTCTAAAATCTTACCAGAAACCCCATTCATAAGAAGAAGACACATAATAGATTAGTACTGCTATCAACTTTTGTCAGAGGTTTCTTTTTGTAGTGGTTAGTGGTGATGACAGAAATTCATAACTCATCAAAGTGTTGAAAATAAGTGACACTTACACTCTCACCCCTAAATAGAACACTTATATCAACCCCTACATGATGAATGGGGAAGAAGAAAGAATATAAAGAATGTAAGAATTGGAGAGTGAAATGAAGTTCTCATTTCCTTTTCAACATTATTCTCTACTTTTTGGTTTCTTCTTACTTTATTTGCTTGTATAATACCATGCAATGAAATAACATTAACAAATAAATCCACTAGTGTATTTGTAGATTTATTGTTGAATCCCCTGATATCAGGCTACACTAGGAACATTTTTACTACTAATTGCATATCAGGATTTGTTCAGATGAGTCTCATCATCTGCTAGATTGTGTATTGGGAATGGGGATTGACAAGAGGTAGAGAACCATCTTTCCCCAACCCCAGTATGCTATCAGAGAGGGGTTACTTGTTTTCAAACTGGCTACTTTCTAATATCTAAATTTTATAGGGTCATGGGTATGTAGCAATTCATACTTACAAACAAGGAGAATCAAGCTAACAAGAACATCTGCCTTTAATTTTATCTAACTTGATATCCTTCCTGTACAGACGTTGGAATGGCCAATTGCTTGAAAGTCTATAAAAATTGAACATGCCTGAAAGTGGAAGCTGTCAACCTGAAGAATTTAATATATGGGTGCTATGCATTATATAAATGAATAACTTGATTTGTTTTTCTAGAGGCCATTTTTCTCAATCTATAGTTTAAATTTAGGCCAGGTTTGATTGAAGAAAGATATCTTTCCCAAGGTCTTGGGTCCAATGAATAGTGGGGTATTATATATACAATCAAATGAAAGCCTTAGACCATCTTCTAATTTATTCATTGTTTTTCCTCCCCCAGTGTGACAGTTTTCTTATTGGCCATGTTGATAAGTGGCCATAAGAAGAGGTGAGGTTTATCAGACCAGCTTTGTAGCTTTTAACACTCTATGATATGGTATTGATAATTAACTTTAAATAAGTTAATTGCACAAAAGTATAGATTTTGTCTATGAGACAAATCAATAAAGTTGGGGATCTGCTGAAGTGTGGACTATTTAACTTTAGAGTTACTCAGTTCTAGACTAAAAATCACATTTTGAGCTGGAGTAGCATAGTCAGCCAGTTCTCAAGATAACTTATTCAGCAAGGACTAAACTTCCTGACTGATAAGGGTCAGAACAGTAGACTAAGAACTAATTCACCAATTCTCTATCTTCAGCTCTTGGAATCAAAGGATTGAGCAATTTCCACATACAGTGGTCAGTGCAGAAGTTCTTTACTCAGTCTACAAATTTACATGCTTATCTCTTTTCTAGAAACACCTCCTGGACACACAGAAAGGTTTTACTTTGGACATGCCTCAGCCCAGTCATACCAACACACAAACAATCCAAGATAGTAAATGCACTTTGTTCTGGGACTTATTTGACCCTCATCTAAGAAACATGAGACATGCTATTAGAGGTCTCTGCTCATATAGTCTTTTAAATCCATTAGAAGTCTTCTTTTAAAAGTCACTTCCAGCTCTGTATACTAACATAAAAGCCACATTATCTTGAGATGAACTACACTTTCAAGTGAGCTCTTTATGCCTGCTACGCTATTCCACAATGCACTTTCTCATAATGAACACAATTCAATGAGGATATGTTTCACAAAAGAGAACTTGTGAGAAAACAAAGGGACAAAGTAGGTAATGACATGATTTTTGTTTTAGTTTTCTAAAAATCTTTTAGGCTTGGGAAATGCCTGCAGAAGGGAGAAAGGAGAGGAAGAACAGGTCCAGGTAGGAATGCATGAAATATCATGAGAGCAAGATAAAGCGAGAGCCAGTAAAGCAGAAGAAACATGAAAAGAAGGTTGACAAAGAAATCACCCCCTTTACTTTGATCCATTTGAAACTGACTAACATCTTCAAAGGGCACTCTTTCCAAGTCTAAAAATAATAGTGACGGAGCCATGTGATGCTTAATGTCTGCAAAGAATTTTACCTTTCCTTTCAGAGACCTCATTTCTTTGGTACTCTTTTTTACAAACTGATTTTATTTATCCTTTTAATTTGCTTTGTTCATGCTTAGAGGTAGATGGAGTCTGAGAACTTCTTTGGAGAAATTGGAAATTGCAATTTATGAGCTTTCTTACCTTTCCCCTTTCCCTCTGTCTTATCTCCCTCTCCCTAGGAATATTTTCTCCTTAGGATCCTCAGTGGCCACACTTGACTTGGATTCAGGTAGGTGATTTTGTTGTACTTCTTGTCTTCTACTTCACTCACTCTAGCACTTCCCCACCCCAAAAGCAGACTGCTTACAAGGACCTCTCTCCACTTCCTATCTCCATTTATTGAGGACTCCTCCAAACCTTTTATCAGAACTATTTTCCCCATGCCCTGATAAAAGTGTATCAGCCATGTATACCTAGAAATATTTTCTACCGGTGTTCACCAGTGGTCACACCTGTCAGGAACTTGGGTATGTAAATAACACTATCCTTCCTGTCTGTCTTTTTGATCTCTCCATTTTCACTGCTGACCCAATAACAGTCATCTTGCAGGTGTCCCTCTTTCAATCTTAACTCCATTCACTGAAGACTCCAACTCTTGATTTAGACCCGGGTCCTCCTTGCACTTTCATCCCTGGTTCTTAAGAAAACTTACTGCAATCCTGAAACCTACTTGTGGAATCCTTTCTTGTCACCACATCCCCAATTATCCATGTCTAACACATCTAGATGCTAACAGGGTCCCCTTAGTTCTTTCTGAAGCCCTTCAAAGTCTTTTACTCATAGACCACCTCTGCTCCTCTCTGCCACCCACTGATAGACAGAAGCAGCACTCCCTGCCAGGTAACTCACAGCCATCACACTTTCCTAGAATCTAGAGAGAACAAGAATAATCAAAGAATACAATACACATATAGCAATGTCAAGGCTTGAAATCACCTCAGTCATTGAAACCCAAAATGCCTAGAAAGTAGCATAAAAACACAATCAGTAATAGCCAGAACATTATGACTCCAATAGAACCCAGTAACCCTACTCTAGTAGATTCTGAGAAATGGAATGTAACTGGAGCAAAAGACACAGATTTTAAGATACCAATTATGACTATGAACAAGGAACTTAAAAGAGGGTATGAACAAATCCCTTAATGAAATCTGTGAAAACACAAATGGTGAAATGAAATAACAAAACAGTTCAAGACATGAAAGTAAACATAGAATAACAAAAGAACACCCCAAGTGAGATAAATATGAAACTGACAAATTTGTGTTGTCAGAACCTCAGAGGTTCTTCACTGAGTACAAGATGCACAAAAGAGAATCTTAAGTGTTAAAGACAAGTTAGAAGAAATAGATATCTTGGTCAAAGAAACTGTTAAATCAAAAACAAATCTGGGCACATAACATTTTGAAAATCTGGTTATGGAAAGACCAACTATATAAATAATGCAAATAGAGGTAGGGGAAGAAACCCTCTCAGAGGCAAACAAAATATTTTCAACAGGAGGTGACTATCGAAGTACAAGAAGAAGAACAGGACACCACATAGATTGGACCAAAAAAGAAATCCCACACAACACTGACAATCAAAACACTAAATCCACAACAAAGAAATATTATTAAAGCTGCAAGGGAAAAATACCAACTAATATATAAAGGTAGACTCATTGTATTAATAACCACCTTTTCAATGGAAACCCTAAAAGCCAGAGGGGCCTGGAAGTATATAAACACTAAGAAACCACATCCCAGTCTACTATACACAGGAAAACTTTAAATAACAACAGATGAAGAACAAAAAACATTTCAAAATAAAAACAAATTTAATAATATATGCCTCACAATCCAGCAATGCAGAAGGCACTGTAAGAAAAACTTTATTCTGAAGAAGTTAACCACATGAAGAAAAGACAACGAGTTTATGAACCCTCACCAGAAATCAAATGAGGGATAACAACCCATACATGATCAACAAATAAACAGGAGTCAATAAACACTGTTGATCAATAATTTCCAATATTAATGATCTCAATTCTCCAATAAACAGATTAGCAGATTGGTTTAGAAAACAGTTTACAGTTCATAGTTCTGCTGAATCCAAGAAACACATACTCTAGAAGCAAGAATAGATGTAACACCATGGTAAAAAGGTGGAAGATTTCATAAGCAGATGAAACCAAGAAACAAGAAGGTATAGCTTTTTCAATATCTGATAGAATACACTTCAAACTCAAACTTCTCAGATGAGAAAGTGAAGGCCACTACACTCTCATAAATAGAATGACCAAACAAGATGATGTTGCACTTCCAAGAATTTATACAACAGAACATTATGGCAGCTAAGTGAATAAAAACAAAGTTAAACAAAACATTCATGGTAACAAAGTTAAAACAAACATGCACACACACAAAACCACATTCAGTTAAAATGATATACTGGCCCTTACACACTGATAATGCATGACTTCAGTACCCTACTCTAGCTAATAGATAGCTCATGTAGCAAAAAAAGAGAAATGCTGGAGTTAAATAAAGTCTGCTGTGGGATGGTCTGTATGTCAAATTGCTCTGATTGGTCAATAAATAAAACACTGATTGTCCAGTGGCCAGGCAGGAAGTATAGGCAGGACTAACAGAGAGGAGAACAGAGAAAACAGGAAGGCAGAGGGAGACACTGCCAGCCGCCGCCATGACAAGCAGCATGTGAAGATGCCAATAAGCCAAGAGCCACATGGCAAGGAGATGGATGAGAATGGACATAAAGTAAAGGAATGGAAAGAGAGAAGAAATGGGTAGGAAATGGATTAATTTAAGCTATAAGAACAGTTAGCAAGAAGCCTGCCATGGCCATACAGTTTGTAAGCAATATAAGTCTCTGTGTTTACTTGGTTGGGTCTGAGAGGCTGTGGGACTGGTGAGTGACAGAGATTTGTCCTGACTGTGGGCAAGGCAGGAAAACTGTAGCTACAAAGCCATAAGTCAAATGGCCCCAGTAAATATTTACAAGACATTAACTCAAACAAATAAAGAAAAAAGAATATACCTCTTTCTCAGAAGTTCATGAAACTTTATCCCAAACTGACAACATTCTTAGACACAAAGCAAGTCTTAACAGAAATAAGAACATTGAAATAACACCCTGCATGCCACCAAGGACTAAGGTAGGGTATCAACAACAGGAGAAACAACAGTAGGTATACAAGCTCCTAGAAACTGAACAGCTCACTACTGAATGAAAAATGGATCAAGAAAGACAATCATAAGGATTTAAAATTTTGAATTGAATGAAAATGAAAACATGACACACCAAACATTTGGGACACAAACAAGGTATTTCTAATGTACAAGTGTATAATACTGAGTATTAAGTGCTATATTACAAAAACAAATTGATGTGATCTTAGATTAGCAAATGTAAGGCACGTCTGAAATCTATAGGCAAAAAGAACTAATATCCAAAAGGAGTAAATGTCAAGAAATATTCAAACTTGGTTGATATCAATAAAATACAAACAAACAAAAAGAATCAATGAATCAAAGAGTTGGTTCTTTGAAAAAAAAGGAAAATTGATAAATTAGATAAATTAACTAACAGATGGATAAAGAATATACAAATTAATAAATTAAAGGTGAAATGGGGCACAACAAAACAGACATCAAAGAACTATGGAGAATCATATGAACACACTATAAAAATCTATACTCCACCTAACTGGAAAACCTCAAGCAAGGCAAGAAATATCTGATATATAAAACTTACCAAAGTTAAATCAAGATCTGATGGCAACTTAAACAGACCTATAACCTTAGTCTCTCAGTGACACAGTAGCAATAGTTAAAAGTGTCTCAAACAAAACACAGAAAACAGCTCATTCCCAGTTGGTGAAGAATTCTATCAGATTTCCAAGAAAAAATTTACACTGATATTTCTCAAATTATTCCACAAAATAGAAACAGAAGAGACAATGCCTAATTCATTTATTGTGGCCCAAACTATGCTGATAACTAAACTACATAAAAACAACAAAGAAAAAAACCATCTACTCTCCCAATCCATTTTTCCTTTAGAAAGAGGCAGACCTCCCATGAGTGTCAACAAAGCATGACATCTCAAAATGAGGTAGGACTAAGCTCTTCCTCCTTGTACTAAGCATGGACAAGATAACCCTATATAAGAAATTATTTCCTGGATGCCAGCCAAAGCTTTAGGAACAGGCCCTGCTTCCACTACCACAAGTAGATTAAGATACAAAACTGTCACGCATATGTAGAGGACGTAGGCTGGTCCCCTGCTGGCTCCCTAGCTGCTGGTCCAGAGTCTGTGAGCACCTATGAGCCCAGGTTAGTTGTTTCTGTGGTTTCCTTTGTGATGACCTTAAACCCCCTGGGTCATACAATCCTTCCTCCCTCTCTTCAACAGGATTCCCTGAGCTCAGCCCAGTGCTTGACTGTGGGTCTCTGCATCTATTTCCATCAGTCATTGGATGAAGGCTCTATGATTGGGTAGTTGCCAATCTGATTGATAAGAGATGGACAGTTCAGGTTATCTATCCACTATTTCTAAGAGTCTTATCTGGGGTCATCCTTGTGGATTCCTGGGGCTTTTCTTTGCACCAGGTTTCTACCTGACCCAAACATGTCCCCTAATTAGGAAATAGCTTTCATTATTCCCCCTCTATACTTCACCCTTCCAACCTAATCCTTCATGTTCTCATCCGTACCAGGCCCCAGTCTACCCATTTCTTCTCTCTTTCTATTGTAGCTTGATTTTTCCTGCCTTGCCCACAGTCAGGACAAATCTCTGTCACCCGCCAGTCCCACAGCCGCTCAGACCCAACCAAATAAACACAGACACATATATTGCTTTCAAACCGCATGGCCGTGGCAGGCTTCCTGCTAACTGTCCTTATCTTGCTAACTGTGCTTTTATCTTAAATTGATCCATTTCCATACATCTATACCTT